GACAGACATGGTTAAGGCGAGTACGCTAGCTGATCGTATTTTGTTCTCAGTTTCAACAGGACAGTAAAGTCAACCCCTTTGAAATGCCATTCATAATGAAACCGAACTTATAAGAACACGATGTCACCTTTTATTTTACATCTTTTTATATAACGATACTGTTAGAAAACAACATGTCCGCAAAATAGAAACTTTCTTTTATTCAATAGACAGTTTACATATAATGGTTATTTTAATACCTTGTTTTTCTGATGTCTTTTACCTGTCTTCAGGCGCCGATTCAACTTGCCAGTAACCACGATTTAGATCCAACGTTGAGAACCATTAGCAGCCTGACATCTGATCCAAAGGCTCATATATGCATGGGGAATGATACACATCTAGAATGCTAACTGCATTTAACTGCTGGTAATCCACGCAGAACCTTAAGCTCCCGTCCTTTTTCTTTGCAAGGACGATACCAGAGCTCCCTAGACTTGTAGACTTCTGTAGGACTCCCCGATCAAGCATGGCATTGACCTGTCAATCTCAGGTATAATACCCTTCCTACTGGCTGTTTTATGGGTCGTGCTTCCCCAGTGTTTATCGTATGTTTGATTATATCGGTTCTACCGAGTTCCTCATCTGAGATAGCAAACAGATCTTGGTATCTAAGAAGTAGCTGATGTGCAGTGGTGTACTGTCGCTAGTCAGACTTTGTTGTGAGGTATCCAGTAATGCCTGGATATCCGTCTTCTTCACAAGATGTTTGGGCGCCGATAGTTCTAACAACACTAACACTAACATAAACCTTACAGGCAATGCTGTATCCTGTTGCACAAGTGCTTTGGCAACTAATGCTTCGTATGTTTAGAGAAAAGTTTCTGGTCTCTCAACTAAGAGCATAATGTTATTGACCGCTTCTTTCTCAGGAGTGCATACCTTCCCTCGAACCACAACTTCACTTTTCGCGGGTATAGTTACCTTCTCCATAGTGCAGATTAGGTAACATCCCATAGCACCCTCATACGTGGTTGGTGTATCAACATCATAAAGTGTAAGAACCCTTCTTTTAAAATCAAGGAATCCTGCCATATTTTGCATTATGTCTAGTCCAAATATACCATCGGTATTAATCCTGACAACAATTTCGACCCAGATATCTTTGGAACTGTTAAGTCTGATGACAAAACTTTTCCTTTTCCTTGGATTAGAAGTTTCTCCCCACTAGCGGTTAGGAAAGACTGGTGTATTTTATCTAACCTTGGTCTAGCCGCTCTTGGAATCTTGTCAAATACCCTTTTTGATATAATGATGACTGTTGCTCCAGAGTCATCCAAAAGGTCTTCTTTAGTGCCACGAACTTCGGCTGATATATTTACCAGCGTTCGCTTTCCTTCGTCTTTGACGTCGACGGGTACTTACCTGTTGGACACCTAGTTGTTTCTGACCTGTATCACCTTATTTTCACCCAATTTCAACGAAAATGTCACTCTTCATCACAATTATAACACTGTTTATTCTTCATGTTGGAAGACTGGGCATTCTGTTTCGTTACAAATTTCATAAGGCCTACATCTTTTTCTTAAGACTTCAACTTTTTTCTGCGTGTCCTGGAGCAATTTTGACATTTCTGACTCTTCAAAGGTGTCTGCACTAGTAGTCCTAAGGTACGAATTACCTTCCTTTGACCGTTTCTCAAAGCGGTTATATGCCTCCAATACGACCGCAAGCTGTATTGCATCTGTCCAATTCATTTATCACCCGATGATCAATGTTTTATTCTTGAACACGCATCAAAGTGTGACTTAAAATGCATCCAAGGGGACATAACGTCATATGTGGCGGTTTTAACGGGCATATGTTTTGCTCTGCGTCTTCTAGATCTATTCCTTGCTTGATTTATCTCATCATCTTTGTCATCAGCATCTCTTGTCTTTGCAACATTTTTTGTTCTCTTTTTACTGGTGGTTGCATTGTCATACTTGTGACTACTCCTATCTGTTATGACATCACAGCCAGGGTTCTTTACCCTTAGTGTCCCAAAGGTGACTGATTTTTTTTTTCTCAACTTTCAGCATGCTTTCATCCCTTATTCCAAAAGTACTGCCACAGTGTATTTCTTACTTGTTCCCAACCCAGAGTCTAAAGTCTTGGCCATTTGCGTCGGTACATTTGGTTGTGATATTGGGGGTTGAGAAATCAAAATTAGCACGAGCAGTATTATTGTAATCAAGGTCAAAATCTGACCCTAAATACTTTTCCGAGTCAGACTGATTGCTGGCCATAAGAAATAAAAAAATAAATAACTCATCACTATGTGTTTATTTTCTTCACTAAACAATATATATACACACACAGTCAGTTAAACAATATGATTGTCATCGGTCTACCTGACCACTGACTATACAATATACACACACAGTCAGTTACACACGATGATTGACGCCGGTCTATCTGGCCACTGACTAAGTGTATGTTAGACCCACATCACAGTGTCTGTTAGACCCACATCACAGTGTCTGCTAGACCTACATCACAGTGGTTGTTAGACCTACATTACAATGTCTGTTAGACCTACATCACAGTGTCTGCTAGACCCACATCACCGTGTCTGTTTGACCTACATCACAGGGTCTGTTAGACCTACATCACAGTGGCTGTTAGACCTACATCACAGTGTATGTTAAACCTACATTACAATGTCTGCTAGACCCACATCACCGTGTCTGTTAGACCTACATTACAATGTCTGTTAGACCTACATCACAGTGTCTGCTAGACCCACATCACCGTGTCTGTTTGACCCACATCACAGGGTCTGTTAGACCTAAATCACAATGTCTTTTATTCCCACATCACAATGTCTGTTAGTCCCACATCACAGTGTCTGTTAGACCTACATAACAGTGTCTGTTAGACCCACATCACAGTGTCTGTTAGACCTACATCACAGTGTATGTTAGACCTAAATCACAGTGTCCTTTATTCTCACATCACAATGTCTGTTAGTACGACATCACAGTGTCTGTTGAACTTAGATCACAGTGTATGTTAGACTCACATAACAGAGACTTACTTAATGGTCAAGAGGAAGCCAACGTAGTCACCTTACAATGGCAGTTACAATCAAATACACGTAAGATGAACACTTAACGCCGGATTCCTATAGGATTATTGTTGATCTTCGCTCTCTCATTTACGTTTAGGAAATACCTCTGGTATCCTTAAGAGCGGAATATCTGGAATCCCTGATTACATGTTATGGGCAATGACAGGCCTATTAGATCGCAATGTCACTCGTATGTTTCAACGTCTGTCCTGATTTGATTGTTTTCGTCGTGGAGTCCCTCCGGCCACACTAACACTTCATATTCAATCGTCCAAAGCGTGATGTGGGAAATGACCAAGCTAATGTAAGCTGCAGACTGTTATATTATTAATAGATTATAAGGCATACTTATATATTTTTTTTATTATTTTATTATTGTGGTTTCCCCGATGAATTGACCGGGATACTATGTAATTTTTTAAAAGATGCTTGGCAGCAGTCTGTACCCTAATGTCTACTACATCGGTACTTCCGACCGCCTCTGACATCATCTAGACGACTCTACAAGACATGTTCGTCTGACCGCCTCTGACACACCTGTAGACGCCTTTACTAGACCGGTATGTCTGACAGCTAATGACACACCTGTAGACGCCTTTATAAGACCGGTACATCGGACCGACTCTGACACCCATGTAAACGACTCTACTAGACCGGTACATCTGACCGCCCATGACACCAATGTAGACGCCTTTACAAGACCGGTACATTTGACAGCCTCTGACACACTTGTTGACGCCTCTACTAGACCGGTATGTCTGACCGCCTCTGACACACTTGTTGACGCCTCTACTAGACCGGTACGTCTGCCCGCCTCTGACACACTTGTTGACGCCTCTACTAGACTGGTACGTCTGACCGCCTCTGACACACTTGTTGACGCCTCTACTAGACTGGTACGTCTGACCGCCTCTGACACACTTGTTGACGCCTCTACTAGACTGGTACGTCTGACCGCCTCTGACACACTTGTTGACGCCTCTACTAGACCGGTACGTCTGCCCGCCTCTGACACACTTGTTGACGCCTCTACTAGACTGGTACGTCTGACCGCCTCTGACACACTTGTTGACGCCTCTACTAGACTGGTACGTCTGACCGCCTCTGACACACTTGTTGACGCCTCTACTAGACCGGTACGTCTGACTGCTTATGACACACTTGTTGACGCCTCTACTAGACCTGTACGTCTGACAGCTTATGACACACTTGTTGACGCCTCTACTAGCCCGGTATGTCTGACAGCTTATGACACACTTGTTCACGCCTCTACTAGACCGGTATGTCTGACAGCTTCTGACACACTTGTTGACGCCTCTACTAGACCGGTACGTCTGACAGCTTCTGACACCCGTGTAGACGCCTCATTCCATACAAACTTTTATCGATGTACTGTAAAGATTGTTATTTCGCCCCACTCTTCATTGTTTTGCTGCGAAATAATGATAAGCTTCGTTTAGAGGCTTTGGTTATTAATACTTGTTAATTTGCTGCGAAATAAGGATAATCTGCGTTTAGAGGCTTCGGTAATAAATGCTTGTTATTTAGCTGCGAAATAACGATAATCTTCATTGTTATCTTGCTGCGGTAAAAGGAAATTGAACGTATTCAAACATCATAAAAATTTAAGCCGCATAAAAGTTCACTATAACATGTATACATATGTATTTGTGATTCGTGTCGATTGCAATTGGCATTTTGCCGCTGGCCTTATTTGAATACACAACCATCTTAATGGACCATTTAAACACATTTTAATACCGATCTTTTGTCCGATGTTTTGACCTTGGTCAGTATCCTATCAAACAGCGGTTAATACTTCGCCTATACATCGTAACGTATTCACACATATATAACGGTACACACGAGTATTTTAGCTCAGTCGCCTGTACAGGTTGTGCATTGTCACTACACAGTAGGTGAAACATACAAATCATTAACTATGCACAACATCGCACGAACGTCGACCTGTCTATCCCTTAAAGTTGTGTACGTCAACGACACGATAACGCCGAGGCCGAACACGAGTTACATACTGCCGTTATGTACGTTTCAATAGATTTTGGATCAACCGACATTGTGTATATACTTATCATGGACGAACTATAAGTCATCCAAGTGAAGTTGATTTGATCTGTGAGCGAATACATTACAGGTGTTGTAAGGAGTCGACGGCAGAATGTTACATGTGTATATATTATATTGGAACTCGCTGACATGTGTCAGATGAAATTGATTTCTCGAGTGAAATAAGCACACGTTTTCAATCAATGTTGGAAGCTAAATGCTATGGCGTTTTAAGGAGGAAAGTGGCATAGCGGTTTTGTCCGCCAGGTGTTACCTGCTTATGTTAATATCGTACCTTGTGTTCTGGTGATTAACTTTGTTTACCTGTACATGTGATCGAGAATAATTAATAACAATTACTGCTGAAATCGACCATATGTCACTTGCCCCATTCGGAGTGTACTAAGATGTCGGCTAATTAAGCTTCCGTTCTTGGCTGAATATACTACCTGTACCATGTACTTAGTCATGTAGTTAATGCCACCATAATAAACCGATGTGAAGCACGTCACCATTTACATGTTTATATATATATTACAAACAACCTAACGGTGTTTTTAAAAAAAATGGCTCCCGAAGATTTTCCAGATGGATTGCTTCTCTCTAGATACGCTGAGGGTCATCTATATTTGACTGTTATATTCTTATTGGTTTTCCTCGGAGGCCGGGTTGTTTACAGACAATTTCGCAGGATGAGGCTTAAACTGGCCGTAGTGATCGTAGGGGCGGGCCCTGTGGGTCTGACTGCTACATTCATAGCCATGCACAACCCGAGGGTGGGGCAAATCACGGTGTACGAGGAAGCCCCCCGCGAACGTATCATCAATAGCTCCTATCAAATAACATTAGATGCTACCAGTTTCACTTTTTTGGAAAGCATAGGTGTGGATTTCAATAATATTGAAGGGTGCCGTGAGTCAGGGCTATTTTATACCCAAGTTGGAGTTTACCTGCAATACATATTAGAACAGCTTCAATGCATTGGACAGCACTGTCAAGTTCGTTTTGGATCTAAGGTAAGTTTGTCGTTCAGACATTGATGATTTACATAAATAATGGTATGACTTTGCCAGCCCGAGGAATTATCATACACTATTCCTCTTCATTTGACCACACACTACCAACCAATGTTCGTTTGTTTGTATGTAACGGCTCATTGACAGCTACAGTCATTTAGGGCCATGGTGGATGATTTATTATTTGTTTTATCAACAAACATTTGAGTAGCGTAGATAAAATAAAATAAAAAAGAATCTTTTACAAGCATTCTCATGGAATGTCTAAATAATTAAAATATGAAAGTTACAGAGATCATGACTAGATTATATGGAATATGTGATATATAGATAACGTCATAGAGGGTAAAGTGGGTTAAAAGACATGAGTCTATAGAACAGACCGATGTCTTTAAAATAGTTAAATAATGCTTTCGAGTCGACGGAACTAAAGAGAGATTTCATATCCGGGACTCGAAAGTAATTATTACGAATGTGTTTGAAATCGGAACATTCTATCAAAAAAAATGTCCCACTGTAAATGGAGTGTGACATGCGTGGCATGTAGGTTTCTCGTTTTAAAGGGTATACATGAGTAGGATAAGCGTGCCAATACGGAGCCGAGAAAGGACAACTTCCTCTCTACGATCTTTCCGACTGGAAACACATGTTTTAAGTTCCGGTTGTAGTTTTAAAAGTTTGTTGCTGGTCTCGAAAGACCAGCGTTGCTGCCATTCATTTCGAATGGCTGTACGAATAATAGGTTTAAAATCTGTATATGGTAGTTTGATATTTGTTTGTTGGAGATTTAACGCTTTTTTTTGCTTCCTTGTCAACAAATTCGTTGCCTTAAATTCCGACATGGTTAAGAATCCACATTAAAGTAATTTCAAATTTCATTAAGATACGAGATATGCGAAAAGCAATGTTTTGTAAGAGTGTGTTTTTAGGATCTCGTAACTGTAAACTTTTTAGTATAGATAGAGGGTCTGAACAGAAATTGCCCTTTCAATGCGGTGTTCATCGATATGGTCGAGGGCCAAACCAATGGCGCATGCTTCGGCAGAAAAGATAGAGGCGCCGTCTGGTAGTCTAACGAACGTGTAAGAATGAGCAGAACAGCAGGCTGCTGTCAATTTTCAACCTTCTTTGGAACCATCGGTGTAAAGTTGTGTAAAAGCAGGGTACTTCGAAATGCATTCCCGAAAGGAGGTATCGTGTTCTTCGGGCATTGCACTTGATGTATCCCGCCCTTGTAATGTAAAGTTAAAATCAGGTGTTTGTATAGTCTATGGGGGAACATCGGGTATGTTATATTTAGCTCTGTTCGTCAATTTCATGTTGAGTTCCTGCAGGGGATTTGGAATCCGGGTGCCAAATGTTGGCAGGAATTTTTTGTTTTGCGTAAATATGTTGTGGTATTTAAGGTTGAATACTTGGTCGAAAGCAGGACTTTTTGGGCTCGATTTTAGTTGAGCCGCAAACTGTAATGCCAGTTTTTTTTCTTTCTGTCATAAAGGTATGGTTCATTCGTTTCCACGTATAGTCTCTTCACAGGTGTTGTTCGAAAAACTCCAAGGGCTAGACGTAGCCCCTGGCTATGGATTGGGTCCAGCATCTGCAGATAAGAACTGCGCGCCGACCCATATACCATAGAACCATAATAGTGTCTTGTTTGAATAAGTGATCTGAAAAGGCGTAAACGCATTTCACGGTCTCTTATATACACCCCTTCCTATCAATTCTAAGATAACAAAAGGTGTTATAGACGATCCTCCCTATTATTTCTAAGAAACCAAAGGGTCTTAAAAACACCAATGCCTATACATTCTAAGACGACAAGGGGTGTTATAGACACCCCTTCCTATTAACTCTAAAATAACAAGTGGTCTTACAGACACCGCTTCCTATTAATTCAAAGAAAACGAAGGTTATGATAGACACCCTTACTATCTTAGAGTAAATATGAAGCTGTGTCTGTAAGACCCCTGGTTGTCTTAAAATTTATAGGAAGGAATGTCTTTAAGACACTTTTGTTATCTTAGAATTAATAGGGAGGGGTGTCTGTAAGACCAATTTGTTTTCTTAGAATAAATATAGTGAGGGATGTTTGTTAGACCCTTTGTTATCTTAAAATTAATAGGGAGGGGTGTCTATAAGCCCCTTTGTTATCTTAGAATTAATACGGAGGGGTGTCTATCAGACCCTTTGTTTTTCTTAAAATTCATAGGGAGGGGTGTCTGTAAGATCCTTGTAATTTTAGAATTAATAAGGAGGGGTGTCTATAAGACCCGTTTTATCTTAGAATTAATAGGGAGGGGTATCTATAAGACCCGTTTTATCTTAGAATTAATAGGGAGGGGTATCTATAAGACTCTTTGTTATCTAGAGTTAATAGGGAGGGGTGCCTATAAGGCCCTTTGTTTTCCAAGAATTAATAGGGAGTGGTGTTGTAAAACCCCATGTTATCTTACAGATAATAGAAAGGGGTGTCTATAAAACCCCTTGTTTTCTTAAAATTAGTAGGGAGGGGTGTCTGTAAGACCCGTTGTTATCTAATGATTAATAGGGAGGGGTTTCTTTACGACCCTTTTTATCTTAGAAATTGTAGGGAAGGGTGTCTATAACACCCATTGTTATCTTAGAATTATTAGGGAGGAATGTTTATCAGATCCTTTTTTTTCTTTTTTTTTAAATTTAGAGGTGTCACTGTAAGACCCCTTCTTATCTGAGAGTAAATATAACACCCCTTGTCATCTCAGAATTGATGGGTAGGTTTGTCTACAATACTCTTAAAATTAATAGGGAGGGGTGTCAATAAGACCCTGTGTTATCTTAGAATGATTAAGGAGGTGTGACTATAAGACCCTGTGTTATCTTAGAATGATTAAGGAGGTGTGACTATAAGACCGTTTGTTATCTTAGAATTGATAGGAAGGGGTCGTGGTTTATACAGTTGTGTGACCGCACAACGCACCAAAAATGGCGTGCGCACATCGTGCAAATATCGTTCACACACCGTCCGCACATCGTCTACACATGACGCGCACAGCTGTACGATTTAACAATCATTCGCCCCGTTGTGCGCTTCTCTCCGCAAAAGCAGATCAATATTACGGAATGAAAAAACCCTGGAAAGCTCGTATGCAATAATGAAAACTGTATGTATTACTGTAATTTCTCATATCAGTAATGAAGATTATGTACAGTTTTACAATGCGTGTAATACAGCATTTCCGTGACCGTTAGACTGCCAAAAATGGGTTTTGCTCCAAGGTAACAGAACAGGTCAATAACAATTTGACCGGAGATTTACCTGTGTGATGAATGTACATATCGTAATCCTACCTTTGCTGATTTAGCATATTATTCAGGTTAGATACGTTGATCTGTTGGCGTTAATCATTTGTGTTATGTCTCCGTAATTCGAACGCTTAGAAGACAGATAGTTTTCGAGGTACAATTAAAACGTACAGGTGATTATACCTCACTCACCGCTAGGTGTCGCTAAGATAGCAAGAGGGTATAAATATGCAAAATCCAGCGACAATCGGGCCAGTTCTGTTCTGATCTCGGCGTGTGTACAGCAGTGACAGATCGTAAGTACCTAATATATGTGAGACCGGCTTTGTGTTGGAAAGATAGAAGTGACTGAATAAGTCTTGCCTTGATCCACACACTGCCTGGAAGATATATTAAATAAACGATTGAGTGCTGTAGCGAGATACCGTTAGACAGAAGGTGTCACGGGCATAGGCTGTGCAGTGCTAGTCGCGACCAGGCTAGTCGTGACTAGGTATAGTCGTTGGTGCTAGTCGTGACTAGGGGTAGTCGCGACCAGGCTAGTCGTGACTAGGTATAGTCGTTAGAGCTAGTCGTGACTAGGGATAGTCGTGGTCATTAGAGAGTGCTGTAGTTGTATACTAGTATGAGGCTGTCGTGATCGGCGCGACTAGGTCATATAGCTAGGTAGCTGACTATAGGGCAACTATAGTGACTAGGGCTAGCCGCGACTAGGTAGTCGAGTTGTGTACTGCCTGGATTGTACGGTAGTGTGTGTAGTGTGTTATATTGATACAGAGCAGATAGCTTTGGTATTAGTTCTATAGTCGTGCAGTAATTATTCTGTTCATATCATGTATTAAGCATTAGGTAATAGGTATGCTGGTTACAAGGTAGTAACACATATTTGTATATATTTGCAACTGTAGTATAGTTATAATTAAGCTTACAGCACAGGGATCCTTAGAAGTGACTAGGGTACGGACCCCGGAACGTTACATAATTTTGGTGGCAGCGTGTGGGATCCCTGTGGTTAGGTTTCAGTATTATAATTTGTGTTAATTAGAATAAACCTGTACTGTTTTTATAGTCATACCTTATAGTTATTTGTATTGGTTTGTGAAGATGGCTAGCTATGTAGAGGATGATGTTCTCAGTCCATTAGAGGATGACGAGGAAACTGTTAGCCAGAGAAGGGACGTGTCATACCATAGTCGTGCAAGCCCTATAATACCAGTGATAAAAAGGCATGTCAGTTATTCAAAATCTACACCTCATAGACCAAGGGACTCTGGTATTGCATCGAGTGATAGAACTAGAGGGGAATATACACAGCACATAGATGTTCCCAGGCTATCCTCAGATATGGTTGTTGATAAGGTTGAGGATGAAATCAGACAAATGAGGGCTGAGTTGTCTAGGTTACAGACAAAGAGTGAAAGTATTCTAAAACCGTCTCCAACTACAAGGCCATATACGGATAGGAAATGGACCACCCCAGAGAGAGTGCTGGTTCAAGAACAGAGCAGCTCCCTGACTATGTTGGTGAAATTGATGGAGGTAGTCATGATTGGGTGACACGTAGGAATTCTCAGAGACTCACAGGAGGCCAGTATATGAGCATGACAGCGGTAGTGAGATCGATGAAGAGTATACCAGAAAACCATGCAACACTCCAAGGAAGGTCAGACATGTGAAGGCTGCAACATATGATGGTTCCACGTCATGGGTTGACTACA